TAGTCGACTGATGGAGGTCGATCGACTGAGCAGAAATTTTTTAGCAATTGCAGAGTAGTTTATCAGTCGACTGATGCATAGTGTCGGTCGACTAAAAACACTGTTCAGTCGACTGATGAAGGTCGGTCAACTGAGCAGAAACTTTTTATCAATTACAGAGCAGTTCATCAGTCGACTGATGAAAAGTGTCGGTCGACTGAAAAACGTGCACAACCCAATTTTAAATAGTAAAAATAAATTTTAAAGTGTGTTTAAAAATAGCAAATAAATTCTAAAAATTATGTGTAGAACCCCGTAATTTTTTTATATGAATATATGTGAATTTTTAGTAAATAAATAATTCTTTTATGACAAATAGCTTGAGGTCATTGATGTACATGATAACAAGTTATTTGAGATGATATGAGAGTATGGGTGTAGAGTTTTGTGCGATGGTTTTGCAAATAAGTAAAACATGCACAAAAACTAAATTTTTCCAGATCAGTCGACACATCAGTCGACTGACTGTATCGGTCGACACATCAGTCGACTGATACGCTGATTTCCAGTTTTTCAGGTTTCGGGTCTGTTTTGATTTGGTTCGGGTTTGGGTCAGGTTTAACTGTTGGTATATATCCCCTCTCACCCGAAAACACCCCCTCTCACCTTCAGACCAGAGAAAACCCTAGCCCCCTCTCCTTATCTAAAACCCTAGGTTGTTCTTGGTGATTTGGGGGAGAACTTGGAGGATTTTCGGCGAAATCTTCACATTGCAGCAAGGGGATCCACACTCTCTCAGACCTAGGAGTTGTTCATCACCCAGAGGCGAGTAACATCTCGCCCAACTCTGCCCCTTTTGTTTTTACACGAATTTATTGAGTTTTATGAGTTTTGATTTAGCCAAAAACGTATTTTTAGTACAAAGAATGAATCTTTATGGTATATGAGGTGGGGTTTTGAGCCTCTCAGTTTATAAAAAAACCAACAATGTTTTATTAAGGAGATCTAGTTATGAAATGTGTGTATAAGAGATTTAACATGAGTTTTGTTTTAACATGAGATTTAACATGAGTTTTGTTTTAAAAATGATTTAAAACATAAATACACATGTTTAGGGTTTTGTTCATGTATTCACTTATGGGATTTCTGTTTCAGTTTAGTTCTTACATGTTAATATCAGTATTTTCATGCTTGGGATTGATGGGAATGAGTTTAGATCGAATTTGGTGCATATAGCAATCTGTGCAGAGGTTCTACAGTCTATCGGTCGACTGATCAGTCGACCGACGGGCACATTTTTAACCATCAGTCGACTGATCAGTCGACTGACGGGCTGGTTTTGTTTTTCTCAGCTTCTCAGTCGACTGGTCAGTCGACTGGCGAGCTGAGGCTGTGCTGCCTGAGCCTCATCAGTCGACATATGAGCCGACTGACGTCATCAGTCAACACATCAGTCGACTGATGAGCTGTTTTACAGATTTTTGATCTGTTTGAGTTGTCTTTCGGGGTCGCCTCGATAACCTGACCCTAGCTTATCATGTTAATGACTTATCTGTACATGTGGGTTGACTTATGACACAAGTTTAGACATGTACACCGAGATGCGGGTGAGTTTAGATTATGTATATCTGTCCGCCTATACTTTTCACAGTTACACAGTCCTCGTGTTGGACTATAATCCATTTCAGTCCTCGTGTTGGACTATGATTTATAGAAGTCCTCGTGTTGGGCTACGATTCATCTTAGTCCTCGTGTTGGACATGTATTGCTATTTAATCCTTGTGCTGGATATGCATTACCATCCGGTCCATGCTTTGGACAACGGTCACATCCGGTCCATGCGTTGGACAACGGTTATATTCAGTCCATGAGTTGGACGTTTACTTCATGCAGTCCATGGGCTGGACGTTTAATATATATATATAGTCTATGTGTTTGACACTTAATCGTTTTCAGACATGACACTTATTGTGGCCATGACACGATTACACTTATCGGTAGAGATGGGTTTGTATTCGTTTCCTTTATTGTTTCTTGTATTAGATCTCGGGTTTAGTATTTAGGGATTTACAATTTGAGATACAAGGTATATACATGAGGGTTTCCTTGTTTGGATTATTTCGCTCGACGTACCTATGCTCGTGTTGTAATTTCCTAAGTACCAAAACCCATTGTTGTTAGGATAAATGATTTATAATATTATGTATTAACTGTATTTTCATATACATCGAGCCCTATCCCTTGGGGTTGGTTGTGATGTTGCTCGCTAGCGCTTTGACGCTCGTTGTCCCTCCCCCTTTCAGGTAACGAGCCAGGAGCCCGGAGAGTCGCAGGTTGATGGCGATGTACTTTAGCTCAGTCGTCTATTTAGTTATATTTTCTTTTGGAGTTCCACAATAGACTTTTGTTTAGACATTTGAGAGCCTTATTCTAGAAGTTGTAAAGGCCGTGTGCCTTATTTCCTCTTGTCAGATATTTGTATTTTGAGACTTGTTGAGTATTCCAGTTTATCTATTCAGACATTGACTATGTATTTCTGTATGTTGGATGATGAGATATTAATGTGATCACTATCATTTCATCAGTTATTTCTTGTATTATCTTTTACCTGCTTTTGTACCTACACCTATTGTTGATTCCACTAGAGAGATAGTAATTATGATGGTGAAACATGTTATTGCACGGTGTGGTGCATGACAGGTTTAACATTTCTGGTTTCACCTCGGACTGCAGCCTTGTGTGAACCCAGGGGCGTCACATTATGAAACTTGGAAAAATATTTATATGCATGAATATAAACATGTTAGAAAAGAAATTTTTAAAATATCATTCTCTGTTTGTAAAAACTCATCATTTTGCAAATTCGGTCAAAATACGAAATCTTAAAACACTTGATTTCGGCAAAATGATTTCAAACAAGTTTGAAACTTCTTTTGAGTGAATTAATAGACTTTATTAAAGATGTAAAATAGCATAGTCAAGTCTTTAACTCATAAACATGTAATTTTTCCAAAAATATGTATTATGGATAAATATAAAACAAATGTGTAAAACAATGAAGATGAATAAAATGTGTGTGTATGGTTTGAGCTCTAAGTATAAACACATGAAGTATAAACCTAAACTACTGTAGCCCAATAATAGATCTTCAATTAGCTCGTATTGGTTACAGATGAAGCGATAATGAATCTAGACTTGAATTGCGACGACTTCATTCCGATTTCCTTCCAACCTAATTTGAATATCATCGTGAAGGCGCAATTCAACCAACCTCCAACAGAGGATCTTCGTGTAGAATACCTAATAAGCAAACATAAACACTCGACAAATGATGTTAGGAATTATTTGTTAATCATTAAAACTAGATTAGATAGTAGGCTCATAAACATAAGACCTAACATGACGCTCGTTGTTTCCCCTCTTTCCAGACAGCGAGTCAAACGCTCGGAGAGTCGCAGGTTGATAGAGGGCTTATCTTTCATCATTATTTATTATTAGTAGTTTATTTATGCTCCACAATAGTTATGGTTTATTTTCAGACATTAGAGTTATATTTCATTTTAGAAGGTTGTGTGCATTAGTATTATTTCAGTTGACTCTTAGGTATTGAGATATTTCATCTATGTTTCGGATATCAGTTGTACTTTATTTATTTCAATTGGAACATGATTATTATTATTATTTTGACATCTCTTTCCTTTACCATGTTCATTACATTCTTATCTTTATTTTATTTTCTTTGTACCTATACTTGATTAGTATTGATTCCACTAGAGAGATATTATTGTAATGGTAAAACGTGTTGATGCACAGTGTGGGTGCGTGGTAGGTTTGATATTCTTGGTTTACCTTAGACTGTAGCCTCATGTGAAACTAGGAGCATCACAGTTCGTATCAAAGCTCTAGTTCTAGCATCCTCAGTATCATCCTGTGTTGAGTCGTGAAGCTAGGATAGAGTTTCCTAGTATTCATGTATAGAGTCCACTAAGAAATCTTAGATTAAGTGAGGATGTTATACGTATAACTTGAAAATTACAAAAAAAAATTTATAAAACTATCTTACTTTAATTATAAAGTATTTGTGTGAATGATATGTAATATGTATTCCCTATTGTTATATGTTACATTATTATGCTTGAGGTCTCAATTACTGTATCTAATAAGCTCTACTCCTGAACTTATAAATGTCAGGATGAGCTGGGCGAGCTGAGCCTGAGCCCGAGCCGCAGCAGACTTCACAGTATTTGATTAATATCATAGCACCAATTTTAGCTAGACTAGCAGCACTAGAGGAGCAAATGGCAAATCAAATTTCGCTAGCGACACCACCTCATGTGGTTCCACCATCATTATCCGTGCCAGTTGTGCCTATTGCAGAGGCATACCCAGGAGTTACACCAACACCAGCTATTATTAGATCCGCAAGGCAAGAGGGGAGCTCTAAAATAGAACGGTCCGAAGATAAGAGCAAGAACATGAGAACATTTACAGGACCTAGAGGACCTCAGTAGCAACAGCAGTAGGGTGCTCGTCCAAATCGCCAACAGGGTCAAAAAGCGCCAAAGTAGTACAGGTTTCAAGGAAATTGTTACAATTGTGATAAGTATGGACATCTAGCCAGAAACTGCCACAGCGAGTTGGCAAGAGGACAACAAGACAAGGGTCAGGGATCATAATAGGATCCGAGAGTGTCGCGATAGCGAAAATTTCGGGGTGCTTGTTTTCTCTGCCATAAGTTTTTTTATCATAGAGCCGCAGAGTGTCCCAGTACACCAGCAGGAAGCCAGCAGGGCAAAGGTCAGGGTGAGCACCTGAACCAAGACTGTCACACCCCGCTTCCCAAAATACCCGGGAAACGGAACGTGAACAAGCCCGCGACGTATTAGATTGAGAAGAAATATTCACTATCATTTTTTTTCTTTTTTTTCTTCTCAATCCAATACGCTAAGCGTCTAGAAATAAATATAATGCGAAGTCACAGGTCCCCGATCACACATAGCAAGAATATAAAGACAACCCAGAATAAAAATAGACATATCATTAATGGTAAATCATCCCAGACATAAAATATGGGTCAAACGTACCCTTATTACAACAACAGTTCAACTAGGAAATAAGAAATACATAGTCCATAATAAAAGGAAATAAAATAACTAAATCTATCATCAAACTAAAGAAAAGTGCGGTAAAAGAGTTTTAATATCCAACTACTACTACAGAAGAAAATCACTACGCTTCAGTTGGTTCTTCTACTCCTTCTGCAAGACACCCCTGCTAAGAATCTTCTGGCTCCTGTACGATTCCGAACTGAGGCTGTTCATCTCCTAAATCTGACGTACACCCAGAAAATAGGAGTACGTCAGCGTGTGGAACACACGGCAAGATCCCCCAAGGCAGGAACAAATACAATAACAGTAATGATAATATATGCGTGGTCAATGCTATAACAGAAATAGAAATAGAACATGTGATGATAGTAATAACGATAGAGGCATACAACTAGAATACTAATAATCAGAAGAATCCAAAAATCAACCAAGTAACAAGATCATACAGGTAGCGATCAGAAACCATCCAAGCAACAATGTTATACAATAGATGGAATTAATACTTAAAAATCTACAACAAGAGACGTAGTACGTCGAGCGAAATAATCCAAACAAGGAAACCCTCATGTATATACCATATGTCTCAAATTGTAGATAATTAAATATTGACCCCGATATATGTATGAAAAGAAATACAACTAGTTCTCATCTCACAAGAATCCATAATCATCTAAGTAACAATGTCATGTAACTAGCCATCCTATAACAGGTCACTGGTCCAAATCTCACTTCTGCGTGCAATGATATCCCTGCTCCTCAGACCCACCCCAGAGTGAAACGATCCACTGGTGCGAGCCTGGAAAATACCAACAACCACGATATCAATGTTCCTCAGACCCACCCCAGAGTAAAACGATCCACTAGTGCGAGCCTAGAAAATAACCATCCACATCCGATCACATGAACCAAGAATTCCTCATCCCAACTCTTCTCGCTTTCCTAAGTCAACAATCATAATCCACATTGTAACTCGGGTTCACCACCTAAACTCAGTCAACAACCCACGCATGTCACTAGGTCTGTTCATGACGCACAATGCCACCAAGTCATGAACTACTAATGTTCTCAAACACAACAAGGCAGTATTAACAACATTAATCTCACGCAACCACATCATGACATGTCGAATACAGTAAAATATTCACAAACATAAAATATAATCATGTACAACAACTACGTAATTCAAAAATTAATTAATTTCCCAAAATAATTTCTTTTAAAAATTAATTCTTATTATAATAATCCAAAATATTCTCTTCCCTTGAATAAATTCTTTAAAATTATTTCTCATCAATTATTATTCTAAAATAATTCTTTTTCTCAAAATAAATTCTTTTTAAATATTATAAATCCTATAAAATGATTTCGTTATCAAAATAATTTTTTTCACTTTATTATCATTATTCCAAAAAAATACTATTTATCGCACGACTATGATTTAATCAATATTATTCAGCAAACAACCCACGCAGATAAATAGTCACAATATACTATGCAAATAATTCAGATCTGAGCAAGAGGAATCTTGCCTCGGTACAGATCGGATAACGACGTGGAGCGAGAGAGGTGGCCTCTCGCAGCGCACGAGAGCGATAGGACTGTTGCTTGGCGGGGCTACGACGGGGTGGGTGCATGTGGTGGCCGGAGGCGGGAGGCGAGGCCTAAGCGGCTAGGGCCAGATGCGAGCCGCGCGGTGAGCGCGGTTTGGGAGTTGTTAGATCTGAGAAGGAGGCGTCGTGGGTCCGTCGGCGGTTCGTCCACGAGCAGCGGCTTCGCGGCGACGGAGGGCAGGCGGACTAAATGCGCGGCGAAGGGGCTAGAGGAAGACGGCGAGGAGGTGCCAGAGAGCTCGCCTTCTGCGGTGGTGCTTCAGTGGGCGCGGTATCGAGCGTCTGGGAGGAGCAGCGTGGTGGAGGGCGAGGCCGCGCAGCGAAGGCGAGGGGGAGAGTCGTGCACGGGCGGCGCTAGGCCCGGTCGACCAAGAGCTGGTGATCGGACTGGTGGTCGGGTTCTGTCGGGAGGCTGAGGGAGGAAACAAAATACTGTGGGCGACGGGTTTTTGTGAAAACAGGAAAAGAGAGAGAGATATATATAGGTATATATATATACAATTAGGGTTTAGGGTTAAATAAGTTAAACAAAATTAATTAAAAAGAAATAACTAATGATATTTAAAAATCAAAATAAATACGGGATAATTATCTACAAATAAAACATACATGTTGTGTTATTACAACAATTGATACGAAATAGTCAAAATATACCCATATTGTATAATTAAACAAGAATAATTAATAATAAAAATATTTCTACTTAAATTTAAAATTCAATAATTATGGGATAATTACGTACACAGTAAAACGTACTAGTTATACTAATACGATAGATAATATGTAACAATAGAAATAATACAATAAATTATACCAAAAACACGTAATTAATAATACCATGTATTATATGAAATAAATTATAATAATATTAATAATACAATATATTATTTAAAATATTACGTAATAGTACTGATAACACAACAAATTAATTCTAGAAATTTTTACCGAATATATTATTTAAAATATTACGTAATAGTACTGATAACACAACAAATTAATTCTAGAAATTTTTACCGCACAAAACAAATTTATAAATATCAAAATTATTTAAATAAATATATAATCATATTTTTAAATCATAGAAAATTGTAGAAAATCGAGAAAAATACAAATACTCTTTTAAAAATCATAATTAAATATTTTAAAATACTAAAAAATTATTTTAACTAGTATCAAAATTCACGGTCCTTACAAAGACCATGACCAACAATAGAGATTTGAGACACCACCATCAATTCTGAGGATCGATGGTCAGATGCATAATATTCAGGAGTTACCTTAAGAGTCAAATAGTTTCATATACTGCAGAGACTTCAGCACAGCAGACCGCAATTTCTGGTCGAGCTTTTGTAATGTACCTCATAATCATGATGCTAGCGGGGTCGTAGTGGAAGGTACGTTCCTTATGAACTCCTTCCCAGCCCGTATTCTTTTTTATTCTGGAGCTTTGCATTCGTTCATCTCTTATGATCTCATGATTAGACTCCAGCTAGTGGCACACCCTTTAGACATTCCTTTTGTCAGTTTCCATCCCTCTAGGTGATGTGTCACTTCTAGAGAGCATTTATAGGAGATGTGTCGTCAGCTTAGATGAGTCTGAGTTCATAATGGATTTGACCATTTTGCGTATGACTGAGTTCGATGTGATTATCAGTATGGATTGGTTATCATTCTACCATGTTAGTATCGATTGTTTTGCCAAAACAGTCAGTTTGTGAGCATCCGATGAGACTGAGTCGATTGTAGCAATCTCACAGGATAACCAGTTTACGGAGTTATTTTTGGCATATGTCGAGAAGATTGTCGTAGGATCATGGTGTAGATTTGAGTGAGACCAAAGTAGTCTCAGAGTATCAGGACGTCCTTCAGAACATACCTAGATTACCTCTAGTGAGAGACGTTGAGTTCTGCATCAAGTTGAAGCCGAGCACAACAGCGATATCACGTGCACCTTATCGTATGACATCTGCTGAGATGAGGGAGCTACAAACTCAATTAGAGGAGCTCATTTCTCAGGGTTTTATTCGCCGGAGTCATTCTTCATGGGGAGCACCAGTCCTTTTCTTGAAGAAGGACGGCAGCCTTCATTTGTGCATTGATTATCATGAGTTGAATAATGTCACCATTCAGAATGGATATCCACTACCGAGGATTGATGACTTATTTGACCAGTTGCAGGAAGCGTAGTGTTTCTCGAAGATTGATCTTCGATCTGGTTATCATCAGTTACACGTTCGGGAGATGGATATTCCCAAGACCACCTTTTTGACTCTATATGGGTCTTTTGAGTTTCTTATTATGCCATTTGGGCTGACCAATGCACCCACAATATTCATGGACTTGATGAATTGAGTTTTCCATTCATACCTAAAACAGTTCGTGATCGTCTTCATCGACAACACCCTCATCTACTCAAAGTCAGAGGCTGAGCACGAGCAGCATCTTCGATTAGCATTGCAAACTTTGTGGGAGCATCAGTTGTATGCTAAGTTTAGCAAATATGAGTTTTGGTTTTCGGATGTTAGATTTTTAGGCCACGTTATTAGCAAGGAGAGCATTGCAGTTGATCCAGCTAAAGTCGAGACAGATCTTGATTAGGAACCACCGAAGACTGTTACAGATATTCGTAATTTCTTAGTGCTTGCGAGCTACTACAAGAAGTTCATTCAAGACTTTTCAAAGGTTGTTACTCCACTGACACGCCTTACGAAGAAGGGTGTTCAGTTTATTTTGGAACAGAGTGTCAGAAAGCCTTTGAGACTTTGAAGGTTAAGTTGACTACAGCACCAATATTGATCATTCCTAGTAGTGACAAGACCTTTGTTGTCTACACGGATGTGTTGGGTCCTTTTATTTTGATAATGATTAACAAATAATTTATAACTAATGTTGTTTGTCTAGTATTTGTGTTTTTTATTTATTCTAGATAAACAATATGTTGGAGGTTGGAAGGATTGAGCCTTCACGATCACATCAAATGGAGGTTGGTGGAATATCGGTATGAAGCTATTACACATCAAGTCATATTCAAGATCAAACTTCATACGTAACCAAGTCGAGCTCATTGAAGACCTTCATCAAGCTTGGGTATATAATTTATAGTGTTTATAGTATATGTTTATACTTGTGTGTTAAATACTTCAAGCTCATATTAATCACACACACATATTTGTTGATTTTATATAAACATAGGTGTTTTTATGAAAATATTGTTTTATTAGTTTATAGACTTCAATAACAGTTTATACATATTTTATTAAGTCTATAAAATTAGTTTATAAATTTTCAAAACATGGTTTAGTCAAAATGTCAAAACAAGTGTGTTTTATTTTTATGTTTTGGACTATTTTGAAAAATAAAGAGTTTTCACATTTGGGAGGTGATTTTTAAAAACCAGTTTTTGTAACATGTGTATTATCATGTCTACAATCATTTTCTAAAGTTTTATATTTTTCTGAATTTGTTTGTTATTTTTAAAAGTAGTTTAAAAATCAGATTTCTACTTTAAACAGGTCGTATACTTGTTATTAGTCGACTGGTCAGTCGACTGATGCAATCAGTCACCGATTAGTCGATTGATGAAAGTGCCTGTAGTTGCCAAAAGTTTTTATT